CCTTTCCTTTAACTTGTAGGATGAGGGCGCTCCCAGGGCTAATTTCCCAGCACCTGATTTGGAAGCCCCCAGCGGCCTGCGGCACAACTTAGTGGAGGGCCTGGGCAGTGCAGCTGCATCTGTTCCCAGTGCCGCCTCCCAGTCTTCATGCCTTGAGCAGTGACCTGGGCCAAAAGTCAGTTTCTGGATGCAGTGTCTTCAGTAGGACTGATCCTGAACTGTAGTTGGGTACTTAGCAACTCTCCACAAACTTTCCCCCAGGAATAGGGAGAGTACATGGTGCCACAGCCCTTTGGTAGACATGAGGCCCCAAGTGGACATCCAGGCCTCAGTCAATATCCGGGACGGAAGTGGAGACCTAGGTTCCAGGCAGACATCAGGCCTCAAGTGGACACCTTCCCAGGCCTCGGTCAGCATGTTTGGGACCAAAGTAAGACCTAGGTTCCAGGCAGACATCAGGCCTCAAGTGGACAGTCCCAGGAGAATATTGGACATCAAACACCAGATTGACGCTGTCTTAGGGGTATGGCAGTTCCCAGTTGGACTCCAGTTTCCAAATGGACATCAGACACCAGGTGGACATCAGGTTCCCAGTTGATAAATAGGTTCCAGGTGGACACCAGGCTCCAGTTGAACATCAGGCCCCAGGTGATGCCCAGGCCGCATTGGCACCTGAGCCCCAAGGCAGACATGAGGCCCCAGGTGGATATTTGAGTTCCTGGTGAACATTAGGCCCAAGTGGACACTCTGGCCCCAGGTGGATATATGGCCTCAGGTGGCCGTCGGGTCCCAGGTGCACACTGGACTTGAGAGGTATTACTACATCAGGCACCAGGTTTACACCCAGGCCCCAGTTGGACAGAATGTCACAGATGGACTTCAGGCCCATGGAGGATACCAAGGCTGGGGGGACACCCAGGCCTCTTGTGGATATTAGGTCTCAGGTGAAAATCAGGCCCTAGTTGGATACCGAGTCTTCAGGGGCCTATAATAATGCCCCAAGTAGAACCCAGGCTTTAGATGGATGCTGGTGGTGGCCGTGGGCCCCAGGATGACATCAAGGCTCTGGGTGGCCACCAAGCCCCAGGTGTGCCCCAGACCTCAGGTGGACATCAGGCCCCAGTGGATGCCTACACTGCAGGTTGACATCAGGCCCCGGGTGGCTGTGTGGGTCCTAGGTGGATGTCAGCCATCAGGTTGACTCTCAGGGCCCAGGTGAACGCCAAGCCACAAATGAATACTTAAGTCAAAAGAAAGAGTGAACGCAAACCCCAGTGAACACAAGATCAGATGGATGCCCGGCGTGATGTGCAGGCAGAGTTCACCTGGGGTCTGATTTTCCTTGGGGCTTGGGTGTTTTCCTGAGACCAATAACCTGCCTGGGGTGTGGTGTCTCCCTGATTAGGTATTTACCTTGGGTCGATGTCCCACCTGGGGCGCAGCATCAATCTGAGTTTAGATGTCACTTGAGGCTGATGTTCACCACAAATTCTGTTTGCCTAGCCACAATTTCCATCATCTGAGACTGGGTGTCCACCTGGAGTCTGTGTCAGTGTGACTTGGTGTCCAACTGGGACATTTGGACACACGGTAAACACCAGGCCCCATGTGGGTTACTATGGTACACCTGATGTACATACCTTGAGTCCAGCGTCCGCTTGGGTCCTGATAGCTACCTTAGGCCTGTTGTTCACCTGGGGCCAGGCGTTGCTGTGTCCTAGCATTTCTGGGAGCCTGGTGTTTACCAGGGGGGTCTTTGATTCCCACCTGGGGCACAGGTGTTTACATGGGGTCTGATACCCTTCTGTGTGGCTCTGGTTTCCATCTTGGCTGATGTTCACGTTCACCAGGCATCCTAGAGTATCCATGTGAGGCCTGATGATGTCACCTGGGATAAGCCTGATGTTCACCTGGGGCCTGGGGTCAGAAGCTGGGGCGTGGGTGTTCACCTGGGCCTAGTAATTTACATGTGCCCTCGTGTTTACGAATTCTTGAGTGTCAACAGCATCTTAATTTCTTCCATGAGCCTGGTGTCCACCTGGGCCTGGGTGTCACCCTAGGGCCTGAAATCCTGGGGACTAGCTGTCCTAGATATCCACCTAGGTCTGAATTTTGCCTGGGGTCTGATGTCCATTTGGAGTGAAGTTTTCACTTGAGTCACTATATAAACCTGCTGCCTGGCTGTCAGCCTTGGGCTGATGTTCACCTGGGATCCTGTGTCCACACTGGGACTGATTATTCACCCAGTGCCACGTGTGCACGTGGGGCCTGAGGGTTTACCTGGGCCTGATGCCCACCAGGACCTTGTCTACCTGGGGCCTGAGGTACTCCTGAGCCAGGTGCCTGCAGGTTCTGATATCCATCTCCCGGGTCTGGTGTTCTTCTGGGGATGGAGTGTTCACCTGCAGTCTGAGATCTACTTGGGGACTGGGTATCCTCTTAGGGCCTGATATTCCCCTATGACCTGGTGTACAACTGGGGCCTGGGTGTCAGCCTGGCACCTGGTTCAGTGTCACCCAGGGCCTGGTATTTGGCTGGGGCCTGATGCCCACCTGAGGCCTGGGTGTTTAGGTGTGGCCTGTTATCTTTCTGTGGCCTGGGTGTTTATCAGGAGCCTGAGGTTCACCAGGTCACCTAGGTATCCACCTGGACCAAATGTCTCTCTGGGGCCTGATGTTCATTTGTTGTCTGGTATTTACCAAGGGCGATACCTGTTGACTGATGTTCAGCTGGGGCATAGATACTCACCTGGGGCCGAGGGGTACACCTGGGGCCTGACGTCTACCTGAGGCCTGGCCAATCACATGGGCTGGTGTTTACCGGAAGCCTAATGCCACCTTGGGCCTGGTGTTTGCCTGGAGCCTTGGTGTCAACCTGGGGCTGGACTTCCACGGGGGGCCTATTATCCACCTGGAGACAGGATGTCCAATTGGGTTCTGATGTCCACCTAGGATCATCCTCATGTATGGTGGATGAAATTTAGGGCCTGGTGGTAAGAATTTAAAGAGACATAAAAGCTATCGAGCCCAGAGTGAAGCAAGCAGAAGGTCATTCCATTCCAGCAATGAGAGAATCACGAGCCTTGATGGAGCAGCCATGAGCAGCTCAGTGTGTTGGGATCTGCAAGAGGAGGAAGTTGTGAGTGCACTGGAATACCAGACCGGGATGGAGGATGCTTTTCAAGCTGGCTTTCGCTTTCTCCTTGAAACGTCATAGGGAAGCCAGACTTACTTATTCTTTGTAGGTCAGAGTTGAGTGTTATGTAACATCAGCGTTTCCAACGAAGTGAAACACTTTTAAGTGAATGAAGAGACAGCACTTTGCAAAAGATTTAGAAATGTAAGAGACATAAATTGGAAATGATTTTGTTTTTTAAAAACAGAAGTAGTTCGTAAACTTCACTTTCTTTTTATTTATTTATTTGAGACAGTCTTGCTCTGTCCCCCAGGCTGGAATGCAGTGGCATGATCTTGGCTCACTGCAACCTCCACCTCCCAGGTTCAAGCAATTCTCCTGCCTCAGCCTCCTGGGTAGCTGGGATTACAGGCACACACCACCATGCCTGGCTAATTTTTAATAGAGACATGGGGTCTTGCCATGGCGCCAGAAGCTGGTCTGCAATTCCCAGGCTCAATGTGTTCCTCCACCTTAGCCTCCCAAAGTGCTGGGATTAACCAAGTCACCGCACCCGGCCAAGTTTGTTTTTGGCTTTGTGTTTGTGCGCGTCACCTTGGGCTCCTGTGGGGTGTTGGAAAGGGAAAGTGGTAGACAACGTAATGACACAGAGGAGACTTGGACCTGGTGAGACCCTGAAGTCTGGATGCTTTGGAGGAGAATATAGATCAAAGGTTGATGATCAAAGTATTCACAAGTATCTTTCCATTCATTTATTTTTTAATTTACAGTTCTGTATAAAATTGGAAGTAATATTCTTTATGTGCAGCTTCCACAATAGATCTTATCCTTTTTCTAATATTTCTGCTCTAGTTACAGAACCATGAGCGATCTCTTTGATCAACTGGAATGAAAATGTTCCAGCTGCTTATAAGGTTTTTTAAAGATAATTCTTTACAACAGCCTTGGGGGGTGCAGGTTGGTGTGAGAGAAGAGTAAGTTAAGGGGATGATATGAATATCAAAGAGAAACTAATGAATAAAGAAGTCCAACATCGATTTAGTTTCAGAAGAAGTAATTTTCCACTAAAATTTTTCAGATTTCCTTTTACTTACATAAAATTGTAGTTAATTAGGGAAGATATTTCTAACACCTGCACTTTTAGAACCATATTTACTATGCAGCATCGCAAAGCAGGCTTTCCTTCCACAGCCCCGTGAGGTCCAGGACAAAAAGCATTATGAGGGAAATTATCCTTAAACCCAGTGCCGCCGCTCAGTCTCAATCTGTGTGGATTGCCCAGCGCCAGACTGGATCCAGAGAGGTGTCCAGGAGGAGAGGACCCTCAGACCCGGTAGGCTGTGCACTCCCGGCGACCCGACGTCATTCAGGGAAGCTCCGCCATCCACGCGCCAGTGCCAGAGGTGCAGCTGCAAACTGCCAGTCTGGCACGGGAGCGGTGGGGCAGGTGGGGAGCAGGCAGCCCCAGACTGTCCATGCCTCTCCCGCTGCCTGACCAGCCAGGCAGCCCCCAGGAGGGCTCAGAGCCTCGGCGCTGAAGCCAGGCCATCCGTGAAGCCAGTCTGAGTGGCCGCGGGGTGCCCGTGCCAGCCCCAGATCTTCCTGCGGACGATAGGCAGGGTGGGCGTGGCCAGCTGGCCTCTCAGGCCGGGAGGCGGGCTGCGCGCTATGCGATTTTCCGCCTGTAAGGTCCTGGGGCTGCGAGGCCTGGGAGAACCCACCCAGGCAGCGCGCCTTGCCCGGGCTGCAGCCCCACCTGTCGGCGGACGCCGCCTGGGAGCGGCTTCCGGGAGTCATGGCCCCCGCGGTGCAGGCGCGCGCCAACGGCTTTTTGCGAGGCTCACTGGGTCTGGGAGGGTCAGTAGAGTCTGAGAGGTCGGAGGCTGCGGTGTTGCTGCTGAAGGGTGGACCGGGCTGGATCGCGGATTCTGGGCTAGATCGCAGAGGTTGGATCGGGGATTGAGAGTTGGTTGGGGGTTTGGGGCTGGGTGTGGGGCGGGGGGGCGGTGAAAGGGGACAGGAGCTGCCGCGGCTCGGAGCCAGTGGTTGGGGGTCTGAGAGAAGAACTCACCTCCCTTGAAGAAGTTCTTCGGCTTCCGGGAGCCCAGCCGCAGGGTCAGCGGGCCTGGGCCCCACAGACCACATCTGCACGGGTTCAAGGGCACCGAATCTGGGACGCCGGAACTGCGGAAGATCCACAGGGCGCTGTCACGGGCGATGCCGCGGAGGTGGAGCGCCGCCTGGCGCGCGGGAGCAGAGACCTGGAAGCCTGGAGGCCAGGCGCACGCGGGAGCAGGGCTCAGCCCAGGGTGGGAGGGGTCACGGCCCGGCTTCCCCACCCAGCCCCTAGGACGGGAGCGCTGGAGGCACAGGACGCCTCGGGCGCTTGATGCCCAGCAGACCTCAGCTGCTCTGCATCCCTCTCATAATTCCCGGCCGGGAGCACTTGGTGGGGTGTGAGTGATTTAACTCACAAGCGAAGCATATATACAGTGTTTTTATTTTAAATGTTTGATGTGATTATTTATATACATTATAGGAGGTGCCTAATGAGAGAACTCATTCCCCTATCAAAAAATACCTGGAGTCATTTTCAGTGTGAAAAGTTCTCAGGTAAAACTGTTCGTTTTACATCCGTATCCCACCTGTGTGAATTAGAGTTCTTTGCACAGAGTTCTTGGAAATAACTCACAAAGCGAAGCATATACAGTGTTTTTATTTTTAACCTACATGTTTAAATCATGGTGTTATATACATTATAGGAGGTGCCTAATGAGAGAACTCATTCCCCTATCAAAAAATACCTGGAGTCATTTTTCAGTGGCGAAAAGTTCTCAGGTAAAACTATTCGTTTTACATCCGTATCCACCTGTGTAGATCGGTTCTTTACTGAAGGTTCTTAGAGGGAAACTTAGAAGTGGGAGGTGGGTTCTGTGTTCTTGAATGGAAAGACACATTTTTTAAAAAATGTGAACTCTGTTTATCAGTTTTACATAAAACAAATGAAAATATCAAGGTTTTAACATTTTTGCATGACACCTGCTGTCTTTTACTGTTGTGACGACATTTAAAACAAGTTTATAATGGAGTGAAAAAACACTTCCTCCTCTAGATAACAAAATTTGCTATTAATTTCTACAATTAATGGTTTACTAACAGCTGAAAAGACAGATAAATGCATGGAACAGAATAGGAAATGCAGAAACAATGAAATTATGTAAGACATACCTAAGGATTGATAATGTTAACAGTCATGAATAGGAAAGAATGAATTGTTAATGGAAAAAATGCCTGCTGTTTGAAGAAAACTAGTGAAAGTTTATGTCACAAACTTGAGTTCCTGATGGAGTACAGATTGAAATTTTTACATATGCAAATGAGAAAAGTACCAGAAGAGAACACACATGCTTATTTTACAGGTAAATTTTATGTTGACAAAGACCTTCCTAAGAATAACCTCACAAGCAGGCATTCTGAAGGTTGATTTAGCAAAGTAAAAATTAAAACTGCTTGTATATCAGAAAACAAATTAACAAAATAAGAGAACATACTTGAAAAATATTTACTGTGTTATATATATTCAGATGAAAAGTATGTTTTCATTTTATAGAAATTATATTCTTATGTATCATATACATAGTACTGGTATGTATAACGTATATTACAGACATATAAGTTACATATACACAGATAAAAAGTTATATATATACACATACATATATACTCATTAGATGAAAAGTACATCCTCATTTTTTTTTTTTTTTTTTTTTTTTGAGATGGAGTCTTGCTCTGGCACCAGGCTGGAGGCAGTGGCAACATCTCAGCTCACTGCAATCTCCATTTCCTGGGTCCAAGTGATTCTCCTGCCTCAGCCTCCCCAATAGCTGGGATTATAGGTGCGCTGCCACCACACCCAGCTAATTTTTGTATTTTTAGTAGCGATGGGGTTTCACCATGTTGGCCAGGATGGTCTCGAACTCCTGACCTCGTGATCTGCCTACCTTGGCCTCCCAAAGTGCTGGGATTACAGGTGTGAGCCACCACACTGGGCCTGAAAAGTGCATCTTCATTTTACAGAGAATTCTCACAAATCAAATAATCAAAAACTCTAGAAGTGGGCAAAGTACTTCTTTGCAGATCTATAAGTTACTTATGTACGTAGGAAAAAAATCCTTTGCATTTCTGGTATAAGAATTTAAAAGAGGAATGAAACTGTTCTCTATCCACAATATGTGTGAGGATGTTTTATACGCTGCCTAAAGTTTAAGTTGCTGATTGCTTTTTAAATACATAACATGGTGGTAAGTACTATATTTTAAAAATGTGTATGCCCGTTACCCTTCAATTCCATTTTACTGAATACCCTTGGGAAATAGAGATACATGCTCTTTGTTTTTCACAGCACTTATTTTAAAAAGAACCCCTAGAATGGATCCTATAAATAAATTTCAGTTGCATCCATAGGATGCAATAATATGTGACCACTGAAGGTGACAATAGATACAGAAGTATGTTGATGTATGAAGTTGTATTTTGTTATAGCCAGTGAGGAAAAAAGAATCCGTTTGATTATACATATACAGAAACAGACTATGGTCTTGTGTTAGCAAAAAATATGTACAAAGTATGATAAAATGTGTAATTTCTGGGCATTTGTGTTTTAAGTAAAGATTTTTTTCCTTTTTCTTAACTCTGATTGCTGCAGTGAACATATACAAAATTTCTAGTAAAAGTTTATTATTAATGGAATAATCCTTGGGAAGAGAGGAATATGAATTTTGCACAGATAAAAATATCACTTTCTATTTTTTATCATTATTATTATTTGTGTGTGTTGTTGTCATCTTTGAACTTGTAGCCTCTTCAGAAGTAAAAGGGAATTTTGTATCTGTGTTTCCAGATTTTATTATGTATGTATTTTATTATGTACATATGTTTTTCTTATATATACATTCATTTCATATATGCAAACAATGATAGATTAATCATTTCATTTTACTTGTATTCTTTAAAAATAAAAATAACAAAATATAAATAGTTACTATTGTGAAAATATTGCTTTATACGAGTTTATTTAAAAATATTGAACCCCCCAACTGTATTTATCCATTCTTTCATTCCATTTATTCATCGAACATAACCTGAGTGCCTGTTACGTGGCAGACATATTCTGCTCTCTCTCAGGAACCTTCCATCCTTAAAAATTTCATATTTACCTGTCCTGCCTGCACAAGCTGAGAGATTTCAAATGGGAATATTAGGACTTCATCTCACTGACAATTTATCTCCCACCTTTCAAACAAAAGCATTTGTGAAGTTAGAAAATAGTAGAAGATAACCTTTAAATGCCCTTTCAAAAGTTTATCAGTCTTAAATACTAATATTAATCATTGGAAAGTCTGATTTGCGTATATTTTATAAATATAAGTAGTGAATAAAATGAGCCGTACCTATTCATTTGAATCTTGAGTTTCCCTTGGCTTCAGGTTGTTTGAAAATCAAAGAATTAATATGTTTAAAAAATGCATGATTGTTATTTCAGTGCTCTTTCCCCATAGTCCCTTTAAGAACTAAAATGTATTTAAGGGCCAGTTACATGCCTAGAACTGCCCTAGACCTGCTGAGTGTACCGTATTCTACTTAACGTAAGGTCTCATGGATTGTTTGATGCCTGATTATTTTATATATCAGTAAGATCATTTTTTAAATGCTACCAACTATAGTTGTAACAAATCATGAATGGTAAGTGGCATTCTAATATCATAAGTGTTAGAATATGACCTACTCTTTAAGTAATCCTACAAAATAGGCATAATTGTATCATTTTACTTAATTAAAATGCTTTTGTTAAGTAGTAGTAATCATAATAATTATAATATCTGGCTGGGTGCAGTGGCTCACACCTGTAATCCCAGAACTTTGGGAGGCTGAGATGGGAGGATCGCTTGATGCCAGGAGTTTGAGACCAGCCCAGGCAACAAAGTGAGAGTCTTACTCTACAAAACATTTTAAATTAGAAGCTGGGCATGCTGGTGCACATCTGCAGTCCCAGCTACTCAAGAGGCTGGGGATGGAGGATCACTTGAGCCCAGGAGTTCCAGGCTACAGTGAGGCGTGATTATATCATTGCACACCAGCCTGGGCAGAAGAGTGAGACCTAGTCTCAAAAAAACAAAAATCTAACAATTATTGAGTTGTTGCTGTAGGGACTTTTCTAAATACACAGTTTCTCATTTAAGCATCATGATGGCGTCCTATGAGATGGCTACTATTGTCATCTTTATTAATGAGGAAGTTGAGGCACAGAAAGGCTAAGCAATACCTGGTAAATGACAGTTTAACGTAGGACTCAAGCCCTAGTTGAACTGAATCCAAAGACTGAGCTCTTTCTATTCAAATAGGCTGCTGTTTTCATTAAGGCAGTGAACAATAAGAGCTAATACGTATTGTACTTTACTCAAGAAAAATTAAGTATTTGTTTTCAAGGCAGAGGAAAAACATGCTCTTCAGTGTTTACAATTATGTGAACTGTTGTGTGCTTTGAGATACTGCACTCCAATTTCCTAAAAAGTCCTCTTACTCTCATAGAACTACTCTACATTAGGCCTGTGCCAATGCCTGTGGGGAAGGGGTCACTCTCCTGCTGAGCAGAAAATGCCAGACTGACGTTTGTGACAATCAAAACAGTACGCCTTTGATACAGGTATATAGTAGCCAACTCTTTAGCATGACATGGGTTTGATTTACACATGTAGAATGAAAACAAATACATCTCATTTACATGTAACTGGTTGGTATAAGCTGTGGAATCTGTATTTTGAATTCTTAGAATTTGCAATCTAGTTCTTGATCTAATATGGGCAGGCTGCACATTGGCGGGAAGAGACTTGTGCCAACATTCTGCTGGAACACGGCGCCAATCCAAATCTTAAGGATATCTACGGCAACACTGCTCTCCATTATGCTGAGTGTAATGAGAGTACGTCACTGGCAGAAAAACTGCTTCCCCATGATGCAAATATTGAAGCACTGGACAAGGTATAGATTAACAACTTTCTTTTCAAAATATGTGTTTTAACCTTGACGTAGGTAAGGGTCCATTTTTTGTATTTGGAAGCTCAAGCATTCCCTGAATGCAAATGCAAATTAAGTTATTTTGAAATAATTGTCTTAAGATTTTATTTTAAATATTGATACTTTTAAAGGAGCATTAAAGGGCATGGCTTTTTAAAATGCACTTTGGAAAATATTTGTGAATTTGTTAAAGATAAAATCTTTTCAATTTTTTTTTATGCAGGGTTTTTTATTTCCTAATTAATGTAAAACAACACAGGGAAGAAAATATGCCCTGGAAATAGGCTTTATCTTAAAAAACAAAACTAAAACAACTTACAATAAATGGACATCTTGGCCAGGTACGGTGACTCACGCCTGTAATCCCAGCACTTTGGGAGGCCAAGGCAGGTGGATCACAAGGTCAGGAGATCAAGACCATCTTGGCTAACAGAATAACACCTTTTTCTTCCCACCATTAATCATTCACTGCCATTCAGAGAGTCTTTAGAAATTTACTTACAGGTAATCGTTCAATAAGTAGAAGCTAACCCTTTCATGATTTCATGTCCCTTTGTCACCATATAGGTGATTATATGTCAACAAATGTTCATTACAAGTTGGGTTTTCTCAATTAGAATAGAAGCAAATCCTAAACTTCTTTTTTAGTTGAAGCTGTATTATGAACTATCTCAGTATGTCTGTTAAGTTTATAGAGCTTTAGCATAACCAGGATGTCAGTTTTAAACAATGAAATCCACGAAGTTAATAAGAAAACAGATAGGAATTATTTAATAATTTAGTTTTGGCGGTCCTGTGTACAAACTATGTATTTGGTTAACAATCTGGGAAAATTATGTATAAATAGATTGTAAATGCATAGATGTTGGAAAAATTCTTGAAGTGGGTATTATGAGTCTTTTTAGCAATTTCTATTATATATGAGGGCCTGATTTTTTTGTAAAACATATGATACTGGAGAAAGAAAATATTTTACATGCAAATAATTGGATTATACCCAACCATTTAGTAACACATTCGTAGCGAATATAAAAACATAAGGACTGTATTCTAAATGTGGTGCACAGATTTGTTTGATTTCCTCTATAAATTGAGTCAACATGTAAAATTTAGAAGACGTGTGCAGAAATCGGGACTTCAGGCTTGTCTTAAAAAATCAAATCTGGCGTCCCCTGGGTTTCTATCACTGTTTGGCCTGCTGTGCAGAGGCTGCCCCTTTACGGAAGGCATATATTCTCCAACTTGCTACTGTGCCCACATCAATGCTTCCCTTTCTCAGGGAACCTTCCTTTGTCCTTGTAAGTATTTGGGTTTACAATTCCTAGGTTGTAGTATATTTTGATAAAGACTTCAAGGTTTTTAAGTCAGCGTGTATTTGTTTATAATACATGGTCTATAGATTATACAAATTCCTCAGTTATGGGGTTGAATTTTAGAATTTAGAAGTTTTTAAAACTTCTTCTTTATACCACAAATAATCATCTACCGATAAGAATGTCTAGAAGCCTTTTTAGGTTATTCCTGGTTATTGGTGGACAGTTTATGAATGTTGCAGACCTTACATCTTTCTCCTCAGCAATCTTCACTAAAAACGCAAGTGACTTCTTGGCTTTTGTTATGCTAGAGATAATCCATACGGATCCGTATGAGAGCTTTTATTGACAGGCCATTGTGTTTTTATTTCTGATTTATATTTTGCCTAAAATAAAAACTAATTTTAAATACGATTTAAATAGAAACCAATAAAAATGGGTTTAAAAAGTAGAGTTGCATTAGGGCCCCAAGATTACCATTAGAATTGAGAATAGAATTTCTTACTGAGCTTTGGGTTTTTTTAAGATTTATTTTTAAGTTTTTTAAACCTCTCTTACGCAGAACATACTAAGCTTTCTAACAGTTAAGATAAAAATCTATTCTCTTGTATTAGGGAAAAAAATCAATGGACTATTTAATAATAAAGAGAATAAGTGTGTTTGAAGCCAATCTCTCCTAATTCAGAGCTTATTTCCTTAGTGACCCATTTGGAGCAGCAGTGCCTGACATTAGCACCTGGGATCCTGACACCATTGACAGAAGTGAATCAAGCAGGTTTGTACCACACAGAGGAAACCTTCACCTCTATTGGGAAGCTCTGGCAACAGTATCTCTGAAACTCTTAATTCCTCAATTGTTAATGTTTGCCACAAAACTATTGTCATGAAGTTGAGGTGTGTTGAAGTTGGGGCTCTGAGGTTGGATACCAGTGTGCAGATGCAGGTGACTTGTGCCCCAGCACTGGGCTGCCTGGCTGTGCCCTGAGCTTGTCTGACCTTCAGTCTGTGCTGGGTTGGAACCTGCTCTAGAGGTTTCCAGATCTCTTCTTTTCACCCTCCACCCCACCAGACCCTCAGGCCTTTTCTGTGCTCACTTCCCAAGCTCCCCTTGGACTCTGCTCCAGAGTACAAGCCAGCCCCACCTGGGACCTTGACTGCCACTTCACCCCCATTGCTCTTCTGAGCCTGTGGTGACGATATGTCCAGACCCCTTTCTGCCCCGGAGCTGCAGTGGGTCTCAGAGGAGCCCAGCTGTACCCCACAGTCTACCCTGGGGAGCTGGAGACACATCTGATACTGTCACTGCAGGGGGTGCCCCATGTGGCAGCTGCTCTGCCGGGGCTGCCTGACCCATCCCCAGCTGTAACTCCCATGTCACTGGTATGCACAGGCACTCAGCTCTTTGACTTTGTCACATCCACGTTCTTGTTTGGTGGCACCAGGTCCCGGCAGGGCTGAGGGAAGAACCCTTTGAAACTCAGTTGTCTGTGTCCAGCAAGGATGGGTGTGAGGCCTCATGCATCCAGCATCAGGGAAACCTCGCCAGGTGTTGCTCCCAAGTAGGTGCCCATTGCAGTGCCTGCCCCTGCCGGTGGGCACTGCCTGAGCTAAATCCCTGTCTCACCTTCCCGGACCTTCACCTGGTTTCAGGGCTCCTCAGCCATCCGCATGCCACTGAAACATCAAAGAGGTTGTGAGGAAGATTCTGGGGCACCTGCCTTCTAGAGGGGGCTGAGGGCAGCTGTGGACGGTTATTTATGGGGATGTTTTTGACCTGGGCCGCAAGCAGGTGGGTAAGTGGCACAGGGATGGCAGCTCAAGGTGCCCTGGCTTCTCTGCATGCCTGTCAGTGAGTGGAGGAACCCAGGCCGGCCACCAGGTTCCGTCCTAGCTTATTCTCTATCCTCAGGGAATAATTCTTTGTGTCCTCAGGTGAGGTACCTACCCTGTCTCTGCCTCAGTTTCTTCCTCTGTGAGACAGGGATCCTAACAGGCCCTACCTCTGACAGTGGTTTTGATGAAGTACGCGATGTGGGTGAAGCACCTGGAGCAGCCCACTCTCGAAGAACGCACCACAGACTCTCAAGGTTCATGTTGAAAGGGGGCTGGGGCGGGGCAAAAGTGGGCAGGCCATTTCAGCTCCAGGCACCTGGGCTGACAGATTGGGTTAAATTAGCATGTGCCTTGCTGAGTGCACAGGGGACAGTTGTCCAGGCAAGAGGCACCAGGGTCAAAGCTGGTGATGCCTTGGCCTCGTCACCCTAGGTTAGGGCCAGTGCATGATGTAGTCAGCCAGGGGAGGGCTCTGGAGCCCTGCAGCCGAGGGGGCCTGGTGACCCTCTCAAGGTTATTCACCAGCCGCTAGGGTGGCCTGCGCTTTTCTAGCCAGGCCTCACTCTAGGAAAAAAAAAAAAATCGATTGTAACCTTGTTGGCAGTTTCCTTTGCATAGAAGTGGGAAGTCGCTGCTAGCGAGGCTGGTGATGAACTCTGCAAAAGCTGGGAAATCTGGTTTGAGCAGGAGCGCCCGTTATCTTGGCCAAGCTGCTGCAGCTGGGCTGGCGGGTGTGGAAGTGTGGGTGGTGGTCATGGTGCTGTTTGGGGCCCAGGCCCCTCAGAGCAGAAGACTGGGCCTGTGTGCAGAAGGCAGCCTTGGGGTGCTGGCTCCCCTAGTGCCCAGTTGCTGATGAAACCTCAGCCATGCCCTGACCCCTTCCCACCCGTGGCAGAGGGCTGTGTGTCTTCTAAGGGTATCAGGAGGCTCAGGTCCTGTTCATGGTTCCACCATGAGTGTGAGAGGCAAATTCGGGGCCTCCATGTCTTGGCACGGAATGAGGAGAGGGATGTCTGTGTTCTGCGGTGGGTGGCTAAGGCAGAGTCTTGAAGGAAGAAGCCTCCAGAAGAAAGGATGATGCAGAGATGGTGGCACCTTCAGGGCTAGGGCCAGCTCCCATCTCTGCTCCTCCTCCCGCTGCTCCTCCAGGTCACCCCTCTCCCAGCTGGGGGCCCAGGAGGAGAGCAGTCTGCAGGGACCCTGCACCCCACCCGGGGTCCCCTGCTCTACATTTTGGGAAGAAGGAATTGAAGTCTGGGACTCAGGCTGCACTGCCATGATAGTGACAGTTATCCTTATTGGACACCAGGGAGGTAGCCCTTGGCATTTATTGAGTGGCCAGTGTATGCACTAGGCTGTCCATGGATCTTCAGAGGCCAGTGTTTTCTTGATGGTCTGACAGAGGCTTAAACTGAGGGCATTAGGAATGAGACAGGCTGTCGGATTTTCCAGATGGAGGGACTGACTTGTAAGTGAGTGCAGCTGGGCTGTGTAGCCATGAACTGAGGCAGTTGGCTCCCAAAATGAGGCTCCTGTGGACCACCCAGTCCAGCCTGCCCCAGGCCTTTGCTCCTCACCTGCTCAGTGCTGGGCATTGGGCCATGACGGGCTGGGCGATCTGATGCCTTGTTATGCCCTTTCCTTTTGTGTTTAGACACAACCGCCCAGCATGCCTGCTGCAGTAGAGATCGTACGACTGACAGAACGGAAGCTTTGTGACACTAAGGTGCCAAATTACAAACAGCACCTAAGGCCACGCCAGGCAAGGGTTGAGTCACACACGCCTTGACTTAAAGAATAAACTGTTCTGATTGCCACAGGGCTTTCTTTTTCTCTAGCAGCTAAATAAGCACTATTAAAACCATGGTAACTCAGCACCAGACACTGACTGACTGGCCCCCAAACCCTGTTCTAGCAGCTGTAACTGCAGCTCTGATGGGACAGGAGGCTGTTTTTAGTAACTTTCTTGTATTAAGAGCCCACCCACCATGGACTG